GAAATCAATGATAAGTGTTCAACATCATTATTGAGGGTGGTCTAACGTTGGGTTTTTAATTTCTTGCATTTTTATAAGTTTTTAATTTTCATGCCTAGCTTAATTAATCAAATCCAACCCCCCCCCCCTTTTCGTATTTATTTTATTTGTTCGTTCTTGTACTTGAATTTGGTGGCTATAACAAGTTAAAACTGAGTCTCTGTGGATACGATCCGACTTACCGCTATTACAATTTTGGTTGTAAATTAGCTTGTAGTTGGAACTTATTATTTGGTGGACTCGGCATCCGTCAATTTCACTTCTGATTTATAAGAGGTAGTACTGAAGTCTGAAATATAAATCAATAATAATGTTTGTTTTTGTAAACTGACAAACGTCTGAAGTCCGACCAGCAAAACTAGAAAAGTAACCGCATTATATATCTCAACTTATCTTCGGATTTTACGACATTATTAAGAGATACAAACAATGCTAATCTCACAATTTCCAGGATATTAAACTAACAACCTACGATACATGTGCATACAAATGCGATAGAAAGGTTCATTTAGAATAAAACTAATGATGAGACTATATCTGCTCTTTTAAACCCAGATGTCAACACTTATGCACCGTTTGGTTGGAATCTGAAGGAATTGGAATGGTCAATTCCGTTGACCAAATTCAATTCTTATGTTTGGTTTATATATGGAATGAAATTGAATTCCATGCATTCCACCATTTGTGGATTTGGCTATTTCATCACAATGAGATGGAATTCAATTTCATTCGTGACTATTTTATCAAAAGATCTAAACTAATTATTATTATAATTTTAGAAAAAAAAAATAGCAAATACAAAGAAAGAGTATGTTAGTCGTTATTTATTATTTCATTCCAATTCCTAAGCTACGTTTTACAAACCGAACATAAAAAATACTAATTCGTTTGACAGATTACATTCCATTTCCTGCCAACCAAACACTTGGCCAAACCTCATAACATTTCGTTTCAGTACCTTTCAGATTCCAATTCCTTTTACATTTCATTTCTTGCCAACCAAACGCTTGGTCAAACCTCATAACATTTCATTATAGTACCTTTCATATTCCAATTTCTTTGACAGATTTCATTCATTCAGAACACGTCTTGCGAACCAAACGTCCCCTTAGAACATCTACAACAAATTCTTTATAATTATTTAAAATAGAGAATTGAAAATCAAAATACATTTAATTCTAACAAATTCATTATTTTGGATACAATTTTTCCATCCCAATATACTTTTTAAACCTGTAGGCTAACAATCAATAGCGTTTAAATTGAACAATTCAATTCACTTGGGCAGCTAAGAATAAAGAATGAAACTATAGATTTAGCCCTGCTATTATTTATATATATATATATATATATATATATATATGAGTTGGTTCAAATACTAACCCAAACTATTATGCAAACTATGTTAACCGATCTTGATCGTTCATTTTCTCATCAAACGGTTCTTATTAAATGAGACTACAAAAATAATCATTTAATTAATGTATTAAATGAGATGTCTATGAACAACTGTTCAAAGGGTAATTTTGTAAAAAAATCGCATCACATCGTGAACCTATATTATTCAGACGATTTTGTAACCTCCAATCAACTACGAAACTGCCAATCTATACGATCAATAGTGTATATCATTAGCGAAAATTTGGTTCATAATATTCATCAAAACGATGGATGATTTTGGCGAAATGCATACAAGTTTGGATGTGTGAACTTAATGAACATCACACACACGCAACACTTCACAAATACATACAAGTTTGGATTTATGAACCTAATGAACATCAGCAATATGACATAAAACAGTAACGAATCCCAACGTCTACGTTTGTGTTATTTGTGCTGATTTGATATCTGTTAATATATGTGTGTCTGTGCACAAATGTCTTAATGCATCCTAGTATGAAAAATGCAATCGCTATATGTGTGATCAAGTAATATAGCACAGTGAACATAATGAACAACCCCTATATAAGCATGATATGATTTGTGCTATATGACATAAAACAATAACAAAACTAAAATTATTATTACACAAAGTAGATAATTAAAAAAAGCAACAAGGATGTGAATTTACTGAAATTGAAAACTTAGTGAAGAATGTATATTGTTTTTTATCCCGAAGTCAAATCTTTAATGAACAACCCCTATGTAGTTAGTCTTCAAAACTAAAACTATTATTACACAAATTAGATAATTAAAAGGAGCAACAAGGATGTGGATTTACTGAAATTCAAAACTTAGTGAAGAATGTATATTGTTTATCATCCCGAACTCAAATCTTTAATGTAGGCCTGTTCACATTAGCGTGTTCATAGCTATCGTATGTTTATATTGGGACACTTATTGATTATTTTCTTCACTTTCGGAATTCGAATTCCGAATGTATTCGTAGACGCTTTTAGTTTTTTCATTCTCATTGTCGTCGATCCGTTTTTCTCTATGATTATCCATATTACTCGGACTATAACGAAATCTTTACAAAATGTACTTTTTTCAAATTTACAATATCAAAACTATTATAGGAAGAATAAATGTAAAATTCAGTAAGATGAACACATGTGAAACTTAATGTCATTATTACATGAAGACCAATTAGTGATATTTTAAGATTTGTAACTCTCAATTAAAATATTTGGGAGTTACATAAGAATGATAAATTACCTAAATACCCTTACAATTAATATGTGAGTTACATTTTAACCTAACTAAAAGATGGAACATGATTGGTTGATGTTGGTTAGCATAGTTTGCACAATAGTTTTGATTAGTATTTGAGCCAACCTCTATATATATATATAGGGGCAGCTTCAAATGAAAACCATGCAATTCTAAGAAACCGTATAAATCAATTTCGACCAATAGGAAAATTCTATTTTTTTTAATTAAATTTAATCAATAAAGGTATTTCGGTCATTTTCCATATTTTTTTGATAAATAAGGAAGTTATTAATAAATATTAAATAAGAAAATTTAATAATGGAAATTATATAAATGGTAACATTTAAAAAATTTATTATATTATAATATTAAAAACTTGATTTTAATTTTTTGTTATTCAATGAATCTGGAAACGTGGTATGAAGATTTTAGCTTCTTATGGAATGAAATCTTGATTTGAGGTTGGAGGAAAAAAAATCATCCATGTTCATGAAACTATTTCAATGTGAAGAGGTTTCATTGTAAAATGGTTTATTTGCTTCTTCTAGGCATATTTTACATGTTAATGAAATAGGTTCATGATGGTAAAAATGTTGATGCTCTAATTGATTCATGATTCATGATCTAGTTTCATGGTGATCCATGTTGCTTTGTGATTGAAGTTGATCCGTTTAGTTGGTAGGGTGAAAATGAAACAAGTGCATAATGTATTTTGTTCTTTATGAAATAAATGTATGATGAAACGAGTGCATATTATATTTTGTTCTTTATGAAATTAATGTTCATGAAACTGTTTCAATGTGAAAAAGTTTCATTATAAAATGGTTTATTTTTATTTACCAATTTTGCCCTTAGTATTGAAATAAAATAATTTTTTAATATTTTCTATTTTTTAATTTCCTAAAATAAAGTAAACTAATCTTAGTCATTGATCAAGAAAATGGATAGATGAGATTGGTTTACACGGTTTACACAAATGGGGCAAGTTTTTATTTGAACGCTCATCTCTCTCTCTTTCTCTCTCTCTCTCTCTCTCTCTCTCTCTCTCTCTATATATATATATATATAGGGTATATTTCTTTTACAACCTTGTGCATTTGTATAACCTTTGCAACCCAATTAATTGAGATATTTATAGAAATGATTGGAGTTCATTGATAGGGGTTGGTTCAAATGTTAACCACGTTTATTGTATTAACTTTATTAATTAATAATGATCATTGATTTTTACAATAAACGGTTGTGATTTATCATATTAAAAAATTAATCTTTTTTTATTACAATTTCACAAACATATGTGAACTAAATGGAAAAGGATATTTATGTAATTTTCTTTTTTATGTAACTCTCATATCATTAATTGGGAGCTACAAAATCAAAAAATCTCATGATTTTTGTTAATTTATTTTTGTTAATGTAAAAACCATATGAACACACTCACACATACACACACACACACATATATATAATTCATTGTATCAAATACGAACAAAAATTGACATATATATTAACTTAGACTGCATAGCATTTATGAACACAATATGAACATAATAAGAATAGCTACTACACGAAAGAAAATAAATAAATAAACAGATATAAACACAATATGAACAAACAATAGTTTTCTCATTATGAACACATTCAGGAGCGAGCCAATGTTGAGATATGTAGCTAGTGTACATATGAACACTTGCGAACAATAGTTATTTTATTATGAACACATTCAGAAACGAGTCAATGTTGAGATATGCAGCTAATGTACCTATGAACACAACATGAACAGTTTGTAAACAATAGTTTCTCCATTATGAACACATTCAGGAACGAGACAATGTTGAGATATGCAGCTAGTGTACATATGAACACTTGTGAATAATAGTTCATTCATTATGAACAATGGGTTTATCCATAATAGCATGAACGATACCGAAAACTTTACTACCGGGTCTCCTCCACCAATCACAAATTCAAAAACATTATAGATAGAAAAATCAATATTATAAAAAAAACGAGATCAATAATAAATTAACAAAAATAATGAGATTTTTTAATTTTGTAATTCCCAATTAATAATATAAAAGTTACATAAAAAAGAAAATTACATATTTATTCTTGTCATTAAATTATAAGATGAATATGAACCTATATATAAGATGGAATATCATTGGTTGACAATAGTTAACAAAGTTAACACAATAAACTTGGTTAACATTTGAACCAGTCTCTCTATCGAAATTAATAATTCAAAACATAACATACAAATAATCCCAGGTGTCACACAGCTGTAAATTAGTAGCATCTTCACCCCCCAACACAATTTACCTTTCTCCATCACAACCACCTACAAAGCTAAAATGACTTTAATTAAATCAACAAGCTTTTTGACGCCATTTTTTCTTTATTAAGTCAAAAAAGCGTGGATTTAAAGATTATATACCTCGATGATCCATTGGGGAATAAATAACCAATTTCCAATCCTACAATGCCTCATTCTTCTACTTCTACTTCTACTTCCTCACACCACCACATCAACAATATCCAAAGACACTTTTTGGTTCACTTTAACAGCTAAAGCTAGCCGAGAAGCAAGGTCGAACCCAGGAACTGTTTTGTATTTGGACAAAGTCGCATAACTAACTAAACAAAAACTATGCCCTTTTTCAAGCTCTGAATTCATTCCGTCAACAGGTTCATACCTATCATATAACATAAACACAAATAATCCCTAAAAGTAATAACCAAATATCATGATCCATCGAGACTGTAGATATCACTATAAATTCGTAACTTATCGTAGTACCTTTCATCATCGTCGCTTTCCTTCTCTAATAAAGATATGCTTGTACCCCCACCCCCATCCCCTACTAATTGCACGCACGGTGATCACGTAAATTCTGCATCACCACATGATCAAGAAACTTCACTATCGACATACAAATGTCAGCACAAAAACTTAAAAAGCCATAGTACAAGATAACATGTCCCTTCAAACCATGCATTAAACAACCACTCTCACAAAAACTCAGATGATATGCCATGCCCTAAATATCATTTCATCACACCATGTCATATATAGCAGCAGCTAGGACATTGACCGATGAGAATAGACTCACCCAAAAACATTTGTGGACTGCTGTTTCATATTTTCTCCAGCTTTTCAGCCTTCACCACAGGATTAGCTTTGGCTATTGCGTCTTTTGCAGTCGCTCGATAGTCGAATGGGCAGTCGTGTTTGTCAGAGTAACGATGAACTGAACAGAAGATATGCCCACATCGACAATTGAAGCCTGTTAAACCAACACGTTTCCTGCAAGTCATACACCTGGTGGGACCCTCTTTGGACTTGCTATTGCTTTCAGCTTGAGTCGGTGACCCGCAAGATGGTTGAGCCATCTCTGACGCTGCGGAACCAGATGGTGCACCAAACAATGAAGGGACACGAGCCGATTCCTTGTCGTTTCCTCCATCCATGATGTTTTTGATTGCGGATGTTGCAAGTTTGGCATGCTCTTGCTTCAATATCATGTCTTTGTGACACTTTGAACACATGTTCATTGTTGCTGGGGTGCCAAAAAATCCACAGTTGTTGACACAAAGGATAGGAGCTTCGGGAGCAGCTTGGCATCCTGTCTCGTTTTTCTCCATCGTCTAGCCACCCTGCACCATGGTATAGCCATGTAAAAATGTAGACATGAATCTGATAATCTTGAAGTACGTTCCACATATTCACGGAGATGGAAGTAGGAAGGGAAGAATAGTCCTTTTGGGTTGCAATAAGTCGGTGAAGGAGAAGCATTAATTGAGGTAGATACGGAAGTTAGAGTATTCCAGAAGTTAGAAATTATTTGGGGAGGGCCAATCTCTTGAATATTGGCACGGCAGTGGAATTCTTGTAATTGTTATCATTCGATTAATAGAAAAATATTGGGTAGAGTGTGAAATAAAATTGATTTGATTCCAATTGTTCATTAGAATCTAAAAACAGTGGACATGTACTTGACCAAGATGCACATCAGAAATTCACGAATTCTTAACTCAAAAGTTCAAATAGCTCTAAAAGGTCCTATTCATTTATGTTAACATCTTCATTTGGTGGATTTCCCTTATATCGTACAAGAGATGAAGATTTCATAAGCATCCGTCTCACGTAATTGATGTGACAGCTTAACAAAAATGGAACCCACGAAACAGAGAAAATGGCAGCTATGCACCTAAAATGGGTCTCACCTATGAGCTACGATGGAATGCTTTTTTAACTAATTAACTCACAAAGATCCAACTCTGTTTTGTTATGGAGACAGATAGTCCGGTTGCTTACTAGACATGGCTGTTGCATATTATGTTTAGAGAAAACAAAGCCCCTCTTAACTTTTCCTGTCGATCAATCAAAACATGGCTCTGAACCAATCATGTGCAGAATTTAGACTCTAGTGTCAACTATATTTGTAATGAATAAAAACAAAGTGAAGTTGAGGAAAGAACATCAAAACATATAAATACACTTCCTTGAATATAGAAATTTCATGTTACATCTTCAGTTACCATGCTAAAATTTTACTCCACAGGATTTTCTATCACATGCAACAATGATTAAACCAAGCCCCGATGACTTTTTGATACAGCATAGATAAAAGATGATAATGGTGACACCAGAGAGACACCAAGCCTGTTCAAGATCCCAAAAAAAATACAGGATTGGAAACTTGGTATAAGTAACCGCACAAAAATACACATATTTGAACATAAGACGATATGATGTTGCTTCTTCAATTATTGTTCTAACTTTTTACTCTCTACTAATGCATCAGTGACTAGAACCAAGCTCTGTGTGGCTTCGATGCAGCACAAAGAAAGAGGATAATGACACTAGAGACGCCAATCCCATTCAATACCCCACATACACCTATCACTAAGCAGAGCAGAAGAATATCCAGAAGAAGCTTATTTTCCCTCACTCCTATCTCCTTAATCTTGTCTAATGTGCATAGGTTTATTATAAGCAGTTACTAAAAACCTAGTACTTGCAATCTAATTCTATTGTATCACGTAAAAAACTGAGATGGGGAACCACATTTCTTCCATTATTACACCCGAGTTATGCTTAACCAAAAAGTTGGCCACAAGGAACTCTCAAGACATCCTATTGCATTTTCCCAAGCATATCAAAATAGATATATTGACTGCTCAAGGACCCACAAGCAGATGGATGGGCAACCTTTTCCTTTTTCTGATACTGGCTTATCAGGAACGAGGTGATCTACAACCTTTCCCTCCCATCCAACTGCTTAGAGGCTTAGATTATTTAAAGCAGTTGCCTCTAGCAATCACCAATGGCCACTTTAAACTTCTATCAACTTTCAGCAAACACTTTGTGCCACGAAATTTATTAGGGGAAAAAGAATAAAAAAGTGCATGAGATCAAAATGCCTAGAAAGTAACCAAAAACTTCCATATGATAATGTAATAACCAATTCAGGAGATAAGATGCAGAGAAGAAGATCATGTTGACACCCTGACTGGAAAAACTAAAGTGGTGGCTGGCAGCACAAGTAGAAGGTAAGGCAGCCTTCATATGCGGTACATGAGGGTTAGCCTCCTTCATTATGCTATTTGGCTCCATGGTAAGCTAAAGATTTGAATGGCATCTTATATATATATATATATATATATATATATATATATATTATTAATTTATTAGACTAATGCGATAATATTACTAAGTAAATAATGACAAATCTTAAAAAAGCTAAAAAGTCTTGGTAAAAAAATAAGATAATCACACCAATTTAGGAAACCCAATTTTGCTTCTATTCCTAGAGAAGTACTGATTAATGAAAAAGTAGATATACACCATCTCACTTGGATAGCCCAATTTGTCCAATTGATTCATGAATTCACCCAAAGTGGCTATGCATAGATCTGATAGCATTCAGAGATTAAGCATCTGTCTAGATTGCTGAGTCCATCCACCAAAATGCCTTTACACCTTAACACTTCCCAAGTACATGCATATCATCATGTGCAATTTTTAGAAAATTTCAACACAATTTCAGTACTTGCTATGAGACTTTCCTCATAGTGACAAGAGATTACAGTTGTCAAATTGTTACTTTAATTATGACGTATTTTTAACCCATTATACGTATCCAATTTTGTAGGCATGCCACTTATTTTCATCTTGACATAACAATTAAAGCTACTCCCTTGCCATGTAACAATAGAGATCCAACCCACCAAAATAATGCTTGAGCACCACCTAAGCTAGGATGTCTTGGAGATGGGTAAGGTTGTGAGGGCATTAATATCTTAGATGAAGCATCTCATCTCAAAGTATTATAACATAACTAAAACCATTTCTCCAAAAATCTTAGCAAACACCCTAGGATTGTGCACTGGGTCAGATCCACTGAAACCGAAAACAACAAAACGTTACAACCAATTATTAGATCGATGTAATAGTTCGGAACCGGTTTAGAATCAGGTCAGTCCCAAAACAAATCAAAAACTGGAAATGAGATCTGATCCTGGTTTTAGGATACTAGTTCTAGCTTTTTTTAATGACCATTTAAGTATTTGAAATGAGACTTGGGTTTGGTACATCATTATTCATTGAGCAAATTGTTGATTTGCTACAAAATGATTTTTGAGCTTTTCAATATGACGTTGAACAAATGGTCATCTTTTTACTGCATACAACTCTTTTTTAATCTGCTTCCAACAAAAAAGAAAAACTACAACAAACAACAGCAGAGAGCAAAGTTGCAAACAGCAGCATCAACAAAACCAAACACCAAACAGAGCAATTAATCAACGATGCAAGGACTAAAGTAGCCAAGAATGAGAAGCAGAGACTGGAAAAGCATGTTGAGGTGAAGCACAAAATGATAACTTGAAAAGTAGAGAAGCAGAGCATTAGAAGAGATCATGAGGGGGTTAGTGCATCATGCATGAAGTAAAAAATGTACATTGCCAAAAAAAAAAAAAAAAAAGGATTGTTGGTGTTTGAAGTTTGATCGATGCCTCATCTAAAGTCTGTCATTAGAGAGGAAAAAAACTATTTGGTTCCCGTTTTAGCCAGTTTCAGTACGCGTTTGGTCCAGAATAATTCTTGGCCATCCCTAGTTAGTATGCTCCATCATTTCCCAAATCTTTCTCCAGATAGAAAATACTATGCATTCCTAATTTGATCACGGAGGTACCAATATTTTATCATAATTTATCATATCAAAAGATCAAACTGAAAATTTTGCAATGATGGAGTACAGAAGCCAGCAGCTTGTGGCTGCATAACCTAGCTTCAATGACTACATGCAATATACTCCTCGCCAACTCAATCAAGATGAAGTCACGAGAATTTAGCCAAAGTGAATATAGACCATCTCATAAAGAGAACAGCAAAACAGCTTAAGAGGCACCACTGAGGCACTGACATCGATCAATACAAGTGATGCATCTACAAGTAATCACATTCTATATGTCACCAATTGATTAATTGTGTGACAAATAAGGAGGGGCCATATGCATCTCTAAAGACAATGCTGAAGCTGGCCACTTTTCTTGGATTTGGTTTTTGGTGCAAGCAGGAACAGGATTGGTGAAAGCTGCCCAACAGAACTTATGTTGTAGAGAGCTGGCAAGAACATTTTGACATTTAATATCGAAGCACTAAAACTAGGTTCTAAATATAACAAATAACAAATAAAAACATTTTCTCTCCTAATTTACTCACTCAACCTAACATGGCTAAACAAGTCGTTTTCTCTAAAGTTACTCTATAAAGATAATTAATACTTATCTCACTGTTACTTTGCCAACTTCTTCCTTTTGTTTCATGATCCCTTATCTATATTGAACTGTTCTCTCTAAGAGCAATGACTTCATGTTGCCAAACATGTAGTTTAACCAATGTTGCTATCTACAAATTTGTAGTTACTCTCTTAATGCAGTTGAGGATATCCACTAAATCCACAGGTTTTTTTCACACCCTAAAAAGATATCACAAAGTTTGTTTTAGGTTTAATTTAGCTTGCATCATTTTAAGACCAAATAACATTTGACAAGGTAAAGGAAAGCTGATCACATTTCAGCGGTTTCTAGTTTAGGGAATGTTTTATATTTTAACAGCATATCCAACTTTACGGCTCAAAATTCAATACTAGGTGATATGGCTCTACAATGCATTCTCTTGCAAACAGCAATATAATTGCACCATAACCATATGCAGTGATTAGTAATCCGGGATACCATGGTATGTTCACTTAATACCAAATTCATAAACATTATCAACCAAATAAACTCAACTCGCACCACATATAAAAGAAGATTAAACCTTGATATGTTTCCTTAATCCTAAATCATAAATATGACTAGACGTGAATTAATAATTGCAAAATAGTACCCTAACCATCAGATATACAGGCCAAAGGTGTCAACTTTCGAGCATATTCTGCAGAATGACTCATGTTTTTGGGTTTTGTAACAGAACTTCTGAAAAATTCTCTCCATAATGTGAATTTTACTCTCTCCTCACTAGGACCATCATTCCTCTTGATCACGATCACACGGTATGTTATGATGTCCTGCTTTCAAAAGTAACAGGATACAAGTGCCTCTGTATCACATATTCCAGCCAACAATACATCAAAACCCCATTATGTCATCCCATGAACCAAATTCACACTATAGAGCTGCTACCTCCCCAAATCCACAGCATTCAGATGCACATACATACTAAAGCTGAAAACTCATATAACAAAACCATGTGTTCAACGAAATTTATGCAATCGTAGCTTCCCAATTGAGAATATAACCAATTCCCAACACCCTAATTCCATCCAATACCAACAGACAATAATAGATAACAATGATTGCCTCCACCACAATGATTCAACTACGAATTCTATATATTCCAAATAATAATAATAAAAATGGTCCACTCCAAACCTTTATGATAAAAAGTTAAATTTAAAAAAAATGAGACCGGCATCGAACTTCACAAAAAAAGTGTTCACAAAGAAAGAGCCCTCCAAACAGGAAAAAACATATTCCACATGACTTTTGCATTTGAAAAGCACTGCTTTTGATTTCAAAAATCGAACGATAACAACGAAAGTTAAAACAAACGTTAAACCAATCATCAAACACTGTATTCGCATAATCTGAACTACTTTCGACAAAATTAAAACAAACCTGTTCCTCAAATGAGACCAAATTTGAGCAGCGTTTCTTCCAAATTCCGACCCCCTTCCGTAGCAAATCGAACACCAAAACAAAAAACCACGTAATCAGAAAAACCGAAAGATAAACTTGCAATCATGACAAAATTTCATCATAGCACGGTTGCATCGAACGATACATATACGTACGTATACGTACATGTATCGTTTACAGAGAACACGAAAGGGTTTGGATGTGTGTGTGTGTGTGTGTGTGTGAGAGAGAGAGAGAGAGAGAGAGAGGGGGGGGAGAGACAAACCCTAGGGCTAAGCAGGAAATCGCCTGACAACCAGAGATGGGGTATGTGAAAAAAGATGGTGTTCTTTATGTAGTTTATATATATACACATACATGTGGTAGGAATGGTTGCGTGTGTGATGATGACATTAAGTTTCTACTTGAACTCTGACGTGTCGAGATGTCAATCGTGTGTTAGTCGTTCAAGTCTATGATGTTTGGTTTCTGGCCAATAGCAGGTGAAGACTACGGAAAATAGAGTGGAAGTGAATGCAGACGATAGTAACCAGATGGGATGATAGGTTACGCATGTTAGCCCAATCCTGTTTGTGCAAGTGAGAATTAGTCACTAATACGTGGCAGTCAAGGATTACTTGTTTCTTGTTTTAAATAATATATATTCACATAACTTTAAAACTTGAATTTGAGCTTCTATTCTCATCGGTTTTTTATCACTAAAACGGTAATCCTACAATAAAAACGACATACATTTTAATTTTAATATTTTATTTTATATTTTATTTCAATTGATATTATAATATAATTTTAAAAAAATAATTATGTTTTTATTTTTAAATAAAATATAAATTTAAAAAAATCATAAAAAATTAACAAAAATATATCAATATTAATATTAAAATCAAATATTTAAAATTCTTATTTTTTATGTAATTTTTTAATTATAATTTAACTTTGATTCAATAATAAAGTAATTTATATTTGGTTTAATAATATAATTTTTTTATAAATATAATAATTAATTATTTTGTTAGAACTTGATAATTACTTTGGTTATATTTTAGATTTTTTATATTTTAAAATGAGATGTTTATCCTCTATTTGATTATGTTTATCCGCAGTTAGTTACATGAATTCAAACATCGAGCTTTAATAAGTTATATTTATGCATAATTTAATTGTAATCTTGAATTTTAAGTAATATGCATCAATATACAGTACTTCATGGATAAAAAATGATTTTTAAGAGTTTTTGTCAAATACTTTATAATATAGTATAGATAATATTCGACATTGATGTTATTTTATTTTATTTTGTTATTTTATTTTATTTTTTTATGTTCTTTTTCTTTCTTTATGTACTTTTTAGACGTTCTCCTCTTGACTTTTGGTTTTATTAATTTCTCGCTCCTTTTTTGAGCTTCTCTGACATCCAACAAACTCTATCGAGTTGTATATTTTCTACTCTTTTAAAGCTTCTTTCACATTTCAACCTTCCATCCAAGTTATTTTTAACTGTGGATGTTCGAACAAGCTTACGCACACTTCGACCAATCTCAGAGGACCTGAAGAGCATAAATATCTTCAATGGTATTGCAAGACTCGTACCTTCCATCAAGTTCTGTGAATAGTTTGATGGAACACGATAAGAACCCCATCAACTTTGGTTTTTGTTTTGAAGCAAGTACTTTCACAGTGATGTAAATGGTTCTTACAATGATGTTTGGGGAATGGGAAGTGAATGGTATACTGTTCTTGCAAGATACACTCGTGTTCAGTTAAGTATTTATGGTTAAACATTGAAAAGAATGACCTATGTACGTGTGACTTCGGTTAGAAATAGTGCATCATAGTCTAAAGCCAACTCAAATGGGAATACCAATTGTCTTTGTGTTAGGATAATTGATTTGTGCCGTTTGTTCTTTAAGGAAAGCTTAAAAAGTTTGATATGGGACAAGTTCGTAGTAAACGGTTTTAATTTAGCCGTCATTCTAGACCATTTATGGAAAAGTTATTGACAATGATGTGACATTTCTCATGGTCAAATGAGGGTGTTACAAGTTGGCACATGTGAAGCAACGGGAGAGATTGAAAGCTCGTCTACGAGTTAAGGGCGGAGTCTGATATAATTTACAAGTTTGTGTCTAGTTGGTTAGGCTAGGTCAGAGGCTAGATCAAACTTGAGCTCACGTTCGATCAATGCGATGTTGAAAACGAGCTAAAGCTTGCATAAAGGGTCAAATTCAACTTTTGTTGCTTTTGGATTTGTATATTCGTAGTGTTGGTTCAACATTAGTGTTTATTAGTATCTATGTTACACTTAGTATGTAAGTTAAATTATATATGCCCCATATCAATAACGTTTCACTATTGGTTAGAAACTTTCACAATTAGATGAGTATACATCTGACTTATAATATATATGATACAATGTTTGTATGGTATCATAAATTGTTACATGTTATGCATATGAGAAATGTGCTAAGTAATTATATGAGGCTAATAAACCATATTCTCAAGAGTTCATTGGTAAGTTTGTTGTGATTTACTTTAACGACATCTTTATTTAAATCAAAACACGGGAAGAATATCTCCAACACTTGCAATAGTCGGTGACATTTTTGCTATCATAATTGTAACTTCTACACGACTACATGGGTTAAAAAAATTCGAAGGCAAACTGAATTATAATATTTTATTGATCGTCATATTTTAATTTACATATATTGATTTATTGGTGTTTTTACTTGAGGTCTCTAGTAGCACCCGAATGATTTATATAAAAATATGTAAAATCCCGAGTTTTTGATGTAACTATAACCTTGTTCGAGTCGTGACTTTTTTTTAGTGAAGACGTGCCCACGCCTTATGGCAAAACATCTATTGTCCAACCACCTTCCTTGACCCTCTCTATTTTGACCAACTAATCCCTTCCTTTTTATTTGATTGGTTGTTGACTTTTGTTGACTTTTCTTTTAGCCGACGACACACTCCCCTATTTCAAAAAAGAAAATTAATTTATCTCTCTCCCTAAAACCCATCACTTTTTTCTCTCTAAACCAACCTCTTACTTCTGCATCAGAATCGGTCAATCTCATTTAAGTTGAAGATGGTATAGATTTAAGAGTTTATAGGTGGATTAGAGTGTTAAGGGTTTCAAGCTTCAGGATCTACGTCTTTCCTAACTACCTCCTTACCATTGTTAAACATATTTTAAGGTTTTCGTAAAACTCATTTGTGAGTTCATTCTACATTTTTATCAAATCATATACATCTTAAAATGATGTATTCTAGTTTCTTACAGCTTTTATTTCATATGTTCAACATTCGGTTGATTTTGGACCATCTTGGTGAAAAATTAGAATTTTCATATCTTTGATAATTAAAAAAAAACAAGTGTGGGGAAATGTTTAAACTACATAAGAGGTGATCATTTCAAAGTCTTGACGAGTTTTGGAACTTAAAATTCATATGTTGAGAATTTGTTGGTAAAATTGGGTTTTTGCGCACTTGATGATTATTGGTAATAAATAATACATGTTTGGTAAAGTTTGAGATGTGTATAGGATATGGTTATATGACTAGAATGCAATAGATCCATGGGCTTAGAAGTCGGTTTTATTGCCACATATGAGGTGTGAATCCCTAGTATAAATTGGATTTGTGAAGTCCCAAGGTAAAGACCCGGATAAGGTTGAACTTGGTGACTATTCAAGCAAAAGACTTGGATAAAGTTGATCTTGTTGGCATGTTTGGCTAAAGACTTGGATACAGTTGATGTCAACAAGTATTACCTATGAGGGTTGACATGTAATGTTGTGTTGTGGCTTACTTTTGTGTTTCGCCACAATCGCTAGTAGGTCGAATCTCCCCATGGTATATGACACCTTACGTCCTTCCAAGGGTAGAGGTGAAATAATTATGCAAATTACTTGGTTAAAGCTATGGTTCTGGTTTTAAATGTTTTATAGCTTTATTCAATAACTATTTGATCTCACTAGGTTTTAAGCTTAACATTTTTTCTTAATTGACATGTATATTAGGGTCTCTTAGTGGCGAGACTCCTAAGGCTTGAGTGGAGTGTTGAGTGCCAAAGAACAAATTTTTGGGATTCTATCTTTTGGATAATGTTATACAGTTACTAATGATAGTTGTTGTATTATTTTAAGGATTGTAGAGACACCCGTTTATAATCTAGATCTAGAATCGATGTAGATTAGTAGGTTTTTGGTTACCGTCTATTTTGATATAAACTCTCTCGCTATTCCCCTTTGTTGGGTGAGGAGTTATTTTATGTTATTTCTTCATGTTTAAATTGTCTTCTAATTTAGGGGTGTTACAAGTTGGTATTAGAGCCCTAATTTACGTGAACTATGTATGAACTTAAGATGCCTAGACTTAAGCTGAGACTTTAACAAATGACTTGTTAGTTGTAGGTGGAACTCTTAAGATAGGAGCGCTATAGAGTCGACGAAGATGCACTAGTTATGGTTTGTGACAATGGCGACGAGGATTCTTATGTATAACTTATTCAAAGTTTCACTTATCTAATGTTATTTTCAGTATGTTGTTACGTAGGCGTGCTTGAATTTACTGTTATTGCAATGATTAAGGAATGTATTGTTACGTTTCAAAATTTAGTCTCGTAACCCAACTCAAGCTGAAGAAACTTATTCAATGGTCACTGCTATCATCTTAATATCACTCTCCTCTCTTGTTTGGCAGTCTAAGATGGTCAGTATGAGGAGTAGACCACCAACCGGTGATGTGGGTCAAGCGAGCAGCGTGTCGGCTTCGGGCCAACCTGGAGGGGCTGATAACACCCACCTTCCTTAAATCCCTTCAATTCCACCCATGCTTCAAGGCATGATTGAGGTCATTTTGAGGGTAAGTTTGGTTACTGATACAACGGTCATTCAAGAGATGGACGCTCAGGCCGTGATGATAGCGAGTGTCATGCAAATGATGAACTCAACCATGGAAAAACAACAAGAAACGTTTATGAAATTGCTTAAGAACAAAGATGCCACTAACCAGAGGCATGAAATAGTTGTTGAAAATGTCGTTCCAGGGGAAATAAGAATGCAACTGGTACAGAAGACATGATCAGTGGTGGGCGTAAGATATAGAGAGAAGAATTGTACGTACAAGACTTTCCTATGCTGTAAGCCGCCAGCATTCTCAGGATCTAATGACCCGGTGACTTGTAAGAATTGGATACAAGAGACAGAATAAGCATTTGACTCTAGCGAATTTGGGGAGGGCCAGAAGGCGAGGTTTGCCTCCCATCTAACATTGTGTTGTGGCTTACTTTTATGTTCCGTCACAATCAATGGTAGATTGGGTC